GCTATTATTTCTTTAAACTTTCTTTCCCCCTTTCCCTCTCTTCTCCTTCTAGAACCCAAGTTATTCCAATATTTGTACATTTGATAGTGTCCCAGAGATCATCTAGGCTATTTTTCATTCTTATTTCTTTGCTTTCTTATGATTGGGTTAGTGCAAAATTCCTATCCTGTAGCTCACTTATTATATCTTACATTTGACCAACTCTGCTATAGATGCTCTCTATTATATTTTTCATTTCATTCCTTGAAATATTCAGCTCCAAGATTTCTGTTTGTTCTTTTTAATGATTTCTATCTCTTTGGTAAATATTTCATTTTGATCATATATTTTTTCCTGATTTTATTGAATTGTCTTTCTGAGTTTTCTTGTAGCTCCTAGAACAGCTGTTCTTCAGAACAGCTATTTTGAATTTTTTATAAGCTCTATTACAAAATGTTGTGCCTTTGGGCTTTGTGTTTGGAGAATTATTGCTGTCTTTTGGTGATGACACGTTTCTTTGATTTTTCATGTTCCTTGTAGGTTTCTGTTGCTGCTTTCACATTTGAAGTAGCAGACACCTTCTAAATTTTTTACTATTTGCCTTCAGATGAGTTATACTGTTCATTTGTGTTGTATCTGGGATTTTCTCTGCCTTTGTATGGCTACACCTACTCCACTCTTCTTACTCCCTCTTGTGGTAGAATTCTTAATTTTTTATGTCTTTCCTGGTTTTTACCACTCTGGCTACTGGAAACCTCTTTTTTGTTTTCCAGAAGATGGTGCTATAGGTCAATTTGTGGTTTCTTCCTTGCTCACAGATCCTGATCTGTTTTTCTAATAGCACTCTGTTTACTGGCCTTGCTTTTGCCACTGCACTTGAGAGCATGCACAACAAGTTGGTTGCAGAGTGGTAGGAGGTGTATGTTTAGCACTTGGGGTATTGCTGGTGCCCGCAGACCCAGTGGGGAGATCCTTGTTGAGATAACAGTCACCAGGAACCATGTCCCTTTAATGCCCTTTGATATTCTTATTGCCTCTTTCCTGATCTCCCTTCCCCCAGTCATGGAGTTCCTGCCTTAGTACTCTGGGTGCTGCTGGACAACTATGGTAACTCCACATTCACTCACTGTGGAAGAGGTCACCACTGCCCGATAGTCAGTCCCAGGCAGCGTTGCCTGGGGGGAGGTTTGGTGTTGGCCAGGTTCCTCTTACCATCTCCACTGTATCCAAACTTTTTTTTTCCTCCAATGACTTGCTGGAATCTCCCCTTGGGAAGGCGGGACTCCCACAAATTCTTTCTCTTCCATGGATATCTGCTCATGTGAGCATTCTCCAGGTGTTTTCCCAACTGTAACAAGAAAGATTGGAGCAGATTCGCTGGCTCTGCTGGTTCCACAGCCCATACTGAGGTCTGTCTGCCCATTATCAGATACAGAGATGGGCAAGACTCATTCTGGGTCTCGGCATATGGTGCTGGATTCCACAACTCCCGCTAAGGTATATTTGTTAGTGGATGGATGTCTACTTAGTTGTTCAAAAAGGCAGAGAAAAACAAGGAATGTCTTACTCCACCATGATGCTGATGTCACTCTCTGGTACATTTTCACAAAATGTGATCTTGTCTTAAACATTCTTGTGTAAACCAAATTTTTAATTTGAAAATATTTTGGTCACAGCCTATGTAAGTTAGTATACTCCTATATTATCACTTTTAATGATTACATAGTATTCCATTATATGCACTGCCCTAATTTATTTTACTTGTACAAACTTCAAGGACATTTTGTTTCCAGTATTTGCTTTTATAAATTAAATTGTAAGGAACGCTGCTGGTCGTTTAGCTATTACCTCTTCACACTAAATCTAGCATTCTCCACTCTGCTTTGGGATATTGTACTGGAACTACATGAACCACGTTTCACACTTCTCCCCTGCCTGCCTGTTAGGTTCTGCCCTGAGAGGTCCTACAGGAAGTTTGGAAGGCAGGATTACATGATAAGAAACTTCCTTCTTCCTGTTTGCAGGATGCTCTTGTCAACATCACCCCAGCAGTGATAGCCCTTCACCTTCATCATTTGTTCTAAACTTCAGCTTCTTCTTTTTAAAAAGTAATTTTTAAATTGAGATATAATTTACATATCATTAAATTCACTTCTTTAAAGTGGAAATTTTAGTTGCTTTAAGTATATTTATAACCTTGTGCAACCATCACTACTATCTAATTCCAGCACATTTTCTCACTCTCCAGTTTCTTTTAGCTCTCCCAGATCTAGCTACATTGATCCCTCTCTAAGTACTGGCACCAGCTGAGCAGAACACCCCTCAGAGTCATCAACCTCAGTGGTGTTATCCCCATTATGTCCTTCTGAAAGGCCTGCAGTAACTGGACAACACCCTTCTGAAGGTCTGAGTTCCAGTTCTGCAAGGCTCTTCTCTGAGTACCTGAAATACCAGCATGAGCCAGCCACTTCCCCTCCTTCAGAGGTCTGATACTAGCTCTGTGGGGCCACTCTTCTGAGTGGCTAAGTCCTGACAACTTTGACCTCTTCTATTTGCCTGGGCCAGTAGATGCTATCTGCAGCTATTATCCCTGTGTTATCTCAGCATTCACTTTTGCCCTTAAAACACCTGTTTCAACATGTTCTGTCTATTAAATTCTCTCTGTTGTAGTATTTGAGTGGTCTGTTTTCCCATTTGGACCTTGATTGATGTAAACAGTCTTGACAATACATCAATGAAAATTAATTTTATTATTAAAAAGGCATGTATAGTCATATAAGTGGAATTGCCTTATTAAAAGTCCTTTAAAGTTAGATAAAAATGAGCCTCCAGAGAGTTTACATGATTTAAACTCAGAGTAAAAGTGAGTGGGAATAAACATTTTCTCAAGCTCATACCATAGCTATACATTACTTTTCTATTTAATCTTTTTGAATCTTCTATTTCAAAATGGTATTTTATTTATTCATAATTTCCCCAAACTGGAAATAACTCAGATGTTGCTCAACTGGGGAAAAGATAAGTGAACTGTGGTAAATCCATACCATGGAATAGGACTTGGCAATAGAACCCAACAAATTTATTCATACATGAAACAACATGGATGAATCTTAAATGTATTGTGCTAAGTAAAAGATATCAGATTCATAAGACTACATACTATGTGATTCCATATGTATGAATTTCTAGAAAAGGCAAACCTAGCGGCATGAAGAGTAGATAGTGGCTGCCAGAGGTTAACAGTGGTGAGAGAGTTTGACTTCAAAAGGATAGCAGGAAGGAATTTTTTGATGAAACAGTCCTGTGTTTTGACCGGGGTGGTGGTTACACAGATCTATGCGTTTATCAAATGCATCTATATGCACCATATAGAGTGAACTTTTGTGTATATAACTTTAAAAAATTTAAATCCCAATAAATTATATCTTACATGTTTTTACTTAAACATTTGCATTTCTTTCAATTCTCCCAATGGACTTTTCCATACATATATTATTCATTTGCATTTTCTTGTTTATTATATTATTGTAAAGTTCTGTAGCCCATTAAAATTTTTTCTTCCTATTGATTTAAAGATCTTCTTATTAATGCATCTTTTCTTTCAAACAGTAAAAATATAATTTCCTGGTTTATTTGCTTTTAACATATTTTTAAAAACTAGAACTGAGTTGTTATTTTCTATAATAAAATGTATCAGGGGGCCGGCCGGGCAGCGCAGCAGTTAAGTGCACATACTCGGCTGTGCGGCCCAGGGTTCGCAGGTTTGGATTCCAGGCGCGCACCGATGTACCGCTTGTCAAGCCATGCTGTGGCGGCATCCAATATAAAGTAGAGGAAGATGGGCACAGATGTTAGCCAAGGGCCAATCTTCCTCAGCAAAAAAGAGGAGGATTGGCATTGGATGTTAGCTCAGGGCTGATCTTCCTCAGAGAAAGAAAAAAAAAGTATCAGATATTAAGTTTATGGTTTCTATCTTTGGTGTCACAAATTTTCATCTCAGTTTATTTTTTTTACTAACTTAGTTTACATTAAACATTTCAAGTCTTGAATCCATGTGAATTGTATCATGTATGATCTATGGATATAACCTTTATTCCAAATTGTTGGGAAGGATTTGCTGTTTGGAATACTCCATTCTTTCCCTCATTGTTTTGAAATGCTACATTTACTATAGTACATTTAAAAAATACTCTTAATCATGGCCATTGTGTTTCCATGTAGCAGATGCCAAACTATTATTAATAATAGAGCAATATTATACATATGGGTGTTTTTTAGGCATTTTTTCTCCTTTTTGAAATGTTTTCTGGCTGTTTAGATTTTTATTTACTCCAGAAAACTGGAGAATGCTTTTGTAAAATGCACAACATATATAAATTGAAGTGAAAAAGATATATACAAAAATCTTTTGAGATTCTTATTGGAATTTTGTCAAAGAGAACTGAATCTTTCTATCTATGAAAGGGTGTATCTCCATTTATTCACGTAATTTTAATGTCACAGAGGAAAGAATATGTTTATGTAAATGAGTAAAGATATTTTCTTTTGGATTGCGTCTATTTTCGGATTTATCTACAATTTTCGTTTATTGCTTTCATGATTTTGATAAACTAGCTTTCTTGTCCCCCTCCCCGGCTTTTGTTTTTTCCTGAGAGAGTTGCTGATGGTGTCAGATATTCTTCTTTTATTGTATTGATGGGCTCTATTTCCCAGTATTTTAAAAAAGTGAAATTGACACGCAGGTTCCCTTTCCCTGACAGCTCTGTGTCTATGTACACTGGCTGCACACACAACTCAGCTGTAATCCACCACTTCTGCGGAGCCTCTGACAGGCTCTGAGCTGCGTGGGTAACTATCTCAGACGCCCCAAACTTCCCACGTGCTAGGTAAACCTGCACTCCCAGCCAATCCCGAACAGCTGGCCGCGGAGACTCGAGGGAAAGGTAGTTCTGACGTTCAGCACCGACTGCCCGGCCCTGCCAGCGGGTCTTCTGCGCATGCCTAGTTCCGCCTTCGGCCTCTGTGCACTTCCGCCTTTTCCTTCTGTTTCCCTCGGGCCTCGCGTGGGAGGCGGTTCCGCGGCGCCGAGTCCGACCGCTCTCCTGGGGCCAGTACTACGAGACGAGGGAGCGGCGGGTGAGTCCGGGAGAGTTGGACGAGGGCCGAGGACGGGCCAGCACGGCCCGGAGGCGGTCGGTGCCGAGTGGTGGGGAGGAGCTCCGCGGACCCCCGGGATGGCGGGAAGGGGGCGTCTCCATCAGGACGATGGGCCGAAATCCCCACGTGACCAACCTCTGCGTTGAGCGGGCGGTGCCATCTGTGAGGCCCCGTACTTGAGGCCGCAGGAGGGCATATGCGCATGCGTGACGGGTGCCCTGTGCCGGTGGGAAGGGGGCGATGCTACGGGGCGAACATGTGCGCATGCGTGACGGGTGCTTGTGCGGCGTGATATTGGAAGAAGGGCTCGACAGCTAGGCTGATTGAGTTACCACGAATCTCTACGTGGTCCTCATTCCCTTGGTTCTTCCTTTATGCTTTCTGGGGTCTGAGCTGCTCTCCAATCATGTCCATTACTGCATCTTGATATATGCTCTTACTCTGTCCTGACTTGCCCTAGCATTTAGGAAGGATATTCAAGAATTATCTATTTTTGTTTCATTTGATAGAAAAAAACTATTTTTGTTCTTGAAGGTTAGTGACTTTTTCAGGATTACAGTTTGTTAGTGGCGAAGACTAAAAGTCATATCTCCTGATTCTTAAGACAGTACTGTCTACTTTTCCACATAAGTAAAAGTTTCTTATAAAAGATCTTTTTGAGAAACAGCAACAAAGATAAACAAATTAAAACATAGACCTTTCCTTAAAGCACTGCTTTTTATAGCTTTCTGTGGAGTCACTAACCAAAATTTTAGTAACAGTAGTAGGAAGATTGATAAACAGCTTAGCCCTAAGGTTTTTTTACAACAGTTTTGGTGAAGAGTTAATGTACATTAGGTGGAGTGTTATTTGTTTTAACCAATTTTGTCATTTAAAATTTTTTGTGAACGCCAAGGGAGATTTAAACGGTTAAAAAAAATCCTTAGGAAGCAAATATTTACATTTCCCCAGTGAAAAAGTTTATGCCCGAGAGCCACATGATTATATTAGAGTCGGATATGTTGTCTTTCAACATCCACCTCTTCCTTCTGAAGGTCAAAGGGACATTGGCGCTCTCCCTGTCTAGTGGGTGTGTGTAGCTTTAGAGGGCGGGAGAATTCAGCAGTTGCCAGCCGGGCCCGACTGGTCATGACTCCATTCCTCTTTTTCTAACGCAGCATCTTCAGAGTTATCTACATTTTTCCAGGAACCGCAGAAAATGAACAAATCCCAGGTGAGTTGTTTGTTTACTACCTACTTTATTTTATAATGGACTTTGTGAGATTTGTAAGAGTCCATATGTTAAGATGGGAAATTAGTGATAGATAAAAAGCGAACTTCGCAGAAAATATTAAGTACCAGATCAACAGCAGGACTAAGTTGGCTTGTAGATGTATACTGATCGTTATATATCTTAGAGTTTCTAAGTTAACCTGCAAATGTGTCTCTGATGTTTCCGATAACCATGGCAGAAAGGGAGACACTATATTTTGGATCCAGACAAACTGATTCTTTTCAAGACACAGACTTCCTGGAAGATATCTTTTTTTTGTCTTAACATAGGGTCACATAGTGAAGAGCCTTCTAGTGACAGCCCTGAAATGAGTGCCTAAAACTCTTCCTCACTGAGAGTAAGAGAGTCCAAGATATGGTTCAAGCCCTTTGGTATCTGCTGGGAATGGTTCCAAGACCCCCCACCACCACCACCTGGATACCATAATCCCAGGATGCCCATCACTTAGTTGGCCCTCCGTATCCACAGGTTCTATATTCACAGGTACAGAGGGCTGACTGTAGTCAATTTTATGATGGTCTTATTTGATCCTGGTATGAAACCTAGTATGTTTAGAGGAATGAATGGCCTGCATGCCTGTTAAAAAACTCTCTCTATTTTTTCTTAGCCAGGCTGTGTATACAAGTTGTCCAGCAGATGGTTCAAAGTTAAATTCTCTGGTAAATGTTTCTGAGCTTCTCAGTCAGATTTTATCTCATAGCATTCTGTGTGGGTTCTTCCCCTCCACTTTTCAGACTCTATCCAGGTAAAGATTGCCAATGACTTAATGGTAGTTGCCTTCTTGGGACAGCTGCTACATCACCCTACTGACTTCTCTCATCTGGAAAGCTTCCTTTGTTGGCTTCTGATACCACTCTTCTCATGGTTCCCTCTTGGAGTCTTCGTTATCATTCCCCCTAGTTTACTTCCAAGTTTTCATCCTTTGTCTGTTAGTCTCGTTTTATCTCTATATGTACATTGAAAAAGTATGGAGATAGTTGAACAATACTGTTTATTGTTTTAGGTGCCTTTAAAAAATATGTAAATTATCTTAATGTATATATGATACACATTTTCCCCCCCAATTCCTCAGTAATTTGAGATCTATCCATATGTAGTTTATTCCTTTTAATGTTGTATTTTCCCATTGTATGGCTACACTGTATTCTAAATACTATATTTTATTGGCAGACATTTAGGTAATTTCCATTTTTCAGTAATAGTGCTATGAATATCCTTGTTATTCTCTCTGCACAAATCCAAGTGTATCTCCAGACTCAAATTCAGTGCTTCTCAGAGTGAGGTTCTTTGACCAGAAGCAGCAGCATCACCTAGAAACTTGTTTGAAATGCAGATTCTCATACTCCATCCCAGACCTACTGGAAGAGAAATTCTGGGAGTGAGGCCCAGCAATGTGTGTTTTAAGCAGGTGTCCATGTGATACTGATATTCACTAAGTTTAAGAATCACTGCTCTAGGATCCTATGATTAATATTTTTGAGTTATAGGATATGATGATTTCTATTTGTTCTAGGTTCATTGTTATATATTAGAAAATGACTTTTCCTTCCTCCTCTCCAGATATAAAAATTACTTCTACACTAATGGGTGAAAAACTTGACTGTTCACTTTTCTTCTGATTATTGAAATTGTGCAGTTTTCATAAATTTATGGCTTTTCAGGTTTTTTTCTTCTACTGAGTTATGAGAATTCCCTGTGTATTTTAAATGGTTATCTTTTGTTATAATTGTTACTAATTCTTCTCTCAGTAGATAGGCTTTTTGTCTTTTAGCTTAATTGTATCCTTTCTGAAACTTTTTATCTTGTGATACAACCCTTTTGTGTCTTCTATTTTTTTGTGTGGTGATGAAGATCAGCCCTGAGCTAACATCCAATACCAATCCTCCTCTTTTTCCTGAGGAAGATTGGCCCTGGGCTAACATCCGTGCCCATCTTTCTGTACTTTATATGGGATGCCACCACAGCATGGCTCGACAAGCAGTGCGTTGGTGTGCGCCTGGGATCCGAACCTGCGAACCCTGGGCCATCAAAGGGGAGCGCATGCACTTAACGGCTGCACCACTGGGCCATCCTCTGTGTCTTCTGTTTTTTATTCTTATTTTCTTTACCTGAGGGGCCTAATGAAATTTGTCTATATTTTGTCTAAAAATATCAAATTTGAAATTTTTTTTTAATATTTAATACCTTAATCTATTGGGAATTTTTTTTAATATAATGTGGTGAAAGGATCTAATTTTATATTTGTCCATCTGTAAAAAATAAGCAGCACAATAAAAGGATAATACTTCATGACAAAGGACTAGCAAAGTATATCTGAGTGGGATGCCTGCCGTGTTTCTTCATTATGTGTGCTGCTGGCTTTGGACTGAAGTAGATTTTGTCAGGGTCACAAAGTATCCATTGAGTCTTGTTTTGTTAAAAATGAGGGTTATGTTTTCCAAATGCCTACTTAACATTCTATGGGGATGATGATAGCATTTTTCTTTTTGGATCTATTGAATTATATTTCCACATTTCTTGATAACTAATCTTTATGTTCCGAAATAAGCCCTACTTGGTTAAAAAGTGTTATTCATTTAATGATCTACATAATTCTGTTTGTCAGTATTTTTTCCATAAACTTCTCCATAGTATTCTTATCATTTTAAAAATGTTTAATCTGTTGCTTTTTATCCCTAACAGTTTTTCATTTGTGCCTTTTTATTTTTTTGGACTAATTTTTATCACTGATACATATTAGTCTTTCAAGGAACCAGCTTTTGGTTTTATTAATTTTCACTATGATTTTCATTAACTTTTACTTTTGCCTTTATTCCTTCCTTCAACTGTTTTTGGTTAGAGGCTGTTTTTTTCTAATTTTTTGTTGAAGATGAGTTTATTTTAAAGCTTTTTAATATGTGCATTTAAGGATATAATATCCCTCTATGTGCCACTTCAGCTGCAAAATCCAAGTATCAATATATAGTGCTTTTTTTTCCTACACAGGTTTCATTTTTCTTTCTGATCCTTCTTTGATCAATAAATTAAAATGTATTTTAATTTTTAATAAATCTTGTTCTATGTGTATAGCAGATATAGACCAATCTTAAGTATAGAGCTCAATGAATTTACTCCAAATCCACTGCCCATGTAACTAATACATAGGTCAAAACACACATTACTAGCACTCCCGAAGCTTCCCTGGTACCCCTCTCACAATCCCTGATACCTCCCTGCTGATTCATTTTCATATCATCTGTGGCTTCAGGGGAAGAGTTAAATATTGAAGTGGCAGAGACCATCTGGCTCTCAAAGCCTAAAATACTGTCTGGCTCTTTACAAGGAAAAGTTTGCCAATCCCTAGATTAGTTTATTAAATTTGTTAGTGTTCTGTTATTTGTGTCCTGTTTAAAATTAATTTTCCTACAAGGTCATGAAGATAATCTCCTTTGTTATTTTTTAAGTATTTATTGTTTTGGCTTTCACATTTATGCCTAATTTATGGAACTGATCTTCACTTTTGTGTGAGGTAGACATCAGGTTACTTTTTTCCCATACAATTTATCTAGGATCATTTTTGAAAAATTATTTTCCCAACTGTTTTTCAGTGTGACAAATGTCGTAATAATGTACACGTCTATGACTGGGTCTTTTTTGGACTCTATTCTGCTCCATTGGTTTCTTTTGTCTCTTATGCTAGTACCACATTTGATAAAAAGTCTTTATTTTTAGTAGTGTATGTCCTTTCACATTTTTCGTGTTCACCAGGATCCTGGCTTTTCTTGGCCCTTTGCGTTCCCATATAAATGTTGTTAGTGTTCACGAAATAACCTGCTGGGACTTTCTTTGGGGTTGAATTGAATCTATAAATAAATTTGGGGAAAATTGCTAGTTTTTTGATATTGAAGCTTCTAATCCATGAACATGGTATGTTTCCTACATTTATGTAAGTCTTTAGTAATTTTAAAAGTTATTCTGTGTAATTTTTGCACACCTATTGTTAGTTATTTCAGTGTATTTAGTGTTTTTATTAATATATGTATATCTTTAATTACACCTTCTAATAATTTTTTCCAATTCTTAAACCTTTTTTTTCTTTATTGCACTGCTAGGTCCTCTAATATATAATACTGAGTAGAAACAAGAGTAGACTTTCTTGTTTTGATTCTTTTCTCAAAGGGAAAGGTTTCCTTTCAATGTGTGATTTTTAGCTGTATTTTTTTCTATTACCACATCGAGGATGTCCCCTGCTATTCCTAGTTATCTAAAGTGTTTTTTTTTTTTTTTCCAAGAGGGCTTGTTAAATTTTATCAAATGGTTTTTGGCATCTATTGAAATCATCATATGATTTGTCTCTTTTATTTTCTTCATTGGTGAATTACGTTAATTTTCAAATGTAAAACTAAGTAAATATTCCCGAAATAGACCTAAATGGGTAATGTTATACTTTCTATATATTGCTGGCCTTAGTTGATATTTTATTTAGGATTTTTGCATCTGTGTCCATGAAAGAGATTGACCTATATGTTTTTGGGGGGATATGTTCTTGTTAGGTTTATTATCAAGGTTATGTTGAATTCATAATGTGAATTCTTGAGTATTTCCTCTTGTTGTCACTATAAGATTTTGTTTTTATTTTTGTTGCTATTTCTTCCTTAGGTATTCATTCACCTGTGAGGCCATCTGTGCCTGGAGTTTCTTTCATGGGAAGATTTTAAATTATAGATTAAATTTCCTTAATAAATATGGGACATTAGATTTTCTTTTTTTAAAAAATAAATTTTGATAAGTAGTTTTTTCCTATGAATTTGACCTTCCTAAATTTTCAAATTTATTGGCCCCTAATTTCTTCATTATATTTTCATACACTGTAAGACCTATATAGGGGTGTTCTTTCTTCATGCCAGATATTGGTGAATGGGCCTTTCTTCTTTATATCATCATCAGTCTTGCTCTGGCAT